TTACGGCCTGGTGGATCTCACAGATATTCCTAAAGGCAAACTGACCATCATTGAGGCCCTGAAGGCCCTGAGCAGCCACCAGCGCCAGCCTCAGACATGGACACCGGAAAAGATCGCTCAAGAATATTCTCTAGACTTAAAGGACACCAAAGCTCTTCTAGAGTTCTTCATTCCCTTCCAGGTTCAGATCATACCACCCAAGACTGAAAATGCCAAGCAGATTAAGGCTTCTTAGGACTAGACTGTAAGTGAAAGGTAGACAGTAGACAAGATATGACCTTACTTACTTATGTACATCAACGCATTGCACTGGGAGAGTGACCTGAGTTTCTCAAGCCTGGGGTTTGGACCCAGTGTGAGGTGGAATCATGGGATATGTCTAAGATTAATATATTGATATAAAGCAAATAAACAAAAAAACGAATAAATAAGTACAAAATATTTAATCTTAAACACTGTGTCTTTATAATACCTCTGTGATACTTGTACAACACAATAGTATTTATACTCAAAGTTTAATGACATTTTGGGATCTTGAAATGGCCAGAGGTCCAAAGAAGGTTGAGAAACCCTGGTTTAAAGGAATAGTTCAGTATTTTAGGGAAATCTGTTCATGAGATTTTCTTCTAGCTCTGAGATGAGAAGGAAAAATGTCTGTGTGTTAGGTACAGAGCTGGAGCTATGATATAGTTAGCCTAGCCTAGCTTAGCATAAAGACTTGCATGCTCTGGCACATAATTTCCTCTAGAGGTGTTGGTAGGCATATTCTTTCACCTCGGACAGAATCGGGCTACCTGTTTAGCCCTGCTTCCAGTCTTTATGCTAAGCTAAGCTAACCACATGATAACTCCAGCTCTGCTACTGCACTCAGATGCACATAAGCATACTTCCCAAAATACTGAACCATTGCTCAATGGAGTGAAGGCTAAATAGCTTGAATATCTGTCCAGCGGAAACAGTATTTTGCATAATACATAGCCATTTATTTCAGTATGACAAGTAAAACATCCTTTGTTAGAAGCTGTTGACGTCAGCATGCTGTGTATCTGTTATTAATTCATCTGAGCAGTCTGTAGTTTGTTATAGAGGTTTGTCGAATCTCTGATCCAGTCCAGTGTAGTACTTGGGTGTTTGCCATATATGTGAGTGTCTGTCTGTCTGTGAGCCTAAAAACCTGTCATTTACAAGGCATATAATAGCATCCAGCTAGGGAAGGTGTCCATCTCATTACAAGCAAAAAATAAAACCCAATATACTGCTAAATTCCATAGATTTTTATTTTGAAAGATCGCTGTAAACTGTTCAAAAATATTCCGTTTAGGTCTGATAATTAGTCACAAAACCAAAGATGATGGTGTGAATACATTGCTCGTGTAAATCCCAGTAACTCTGACCTCATAAGATCTAATGCTGCCCCCATGTGAAGAGGGACGTATAACCCGCACCTGTCGTGCCTCGTTCTGTGCCAGGCTGGTCTTTGCCCATGACTGAACTTAACTGCTGTCCCTTTATTGTTACCACTGCACAGGCAGTTAATAGAAGCGATGTATTTAAGCTAACATTGTACGGCCTAAAAATGATAGCGTGGCTGATATTAGCTTCTCACAGATATATCACTGTTTGTCAGCCACTAAGTGACAAAAAAATTGCGGCACAGGAAGTGTTACCTTTCCACAGCAACTTGTCATTGTAGGAAAAGCACAGGTGTTCCTTACATTAATAACAGCTCTGGTGTATTAATGTGTCCCAGTAAGCTGTGACATACCTGTGTGTGCCTACATCACTTCCATTAGAAGGTCAAAGGGCACTGCCCTTAGCCGTGGTGTTGGTACAGCTGGAGATATCAGGGTCAGCAGAACCCATCACGTCTTCTTCTATAGTGCAAAATGATGGCCGGTCATGCAACATTTTTTCCAACTCGTGAGACCGAAGTTAGAAAACGTTAACCATGACGTTAATCATGACGTTAATCATGACGTCCTGCATTGATGATGTAGTCCTTGTCGGTGATGCACCAGGACACTTAAGCATTTACATTACAAAAGATGAGGTCAAATGCGTCTCAGGCCACCTCTGCAAGCAGTTTGAGGGATCTCTTCACGCTTGTATTTAGCACTCCTAGCTAATTTGCCTCCAGTGTTGCAACTGCAAGTTAATAACACAGTGCACAAAGCAGGAATACAGAAACCTTTGATTCAACAGTTCATGATCAAACATTAACCGTGCAGTTATTACTTTGAATTTAGCTCTGCCAGAAAGACAGGCAGCCCATATCACTGGGTGATGTGCTGTTTTATGCCATTATTGTGGACAATTGGAAATGTATTTATTAATATGGTTTCAAATGGCAGCCAGTGCTGGAATAGCAGGAGCCTCAAGGAAACATAATGGGAAGTAGTGTGTCTCAGCAGTATGAAGTTTATGTGTGGGGAAAATTAACTTGGAATTTGAACCAATCCGCTGCATTAACGCACACTTTTTCAAAATAAAAGATTCTTTTGTTCTTCATGTTATGTATTTAATTTTATTCCTAATTTAAAGTGATTGTCTGTGAATAAGCCTTATGTTTCACCTTCATCTCATTGGAGTCAACCCACCAAGTCACACATATATCTGCAGTGTACCCAGTAAGCATCGCTGCTGTGTTGAAATCACATTCAGATCATTTTCATAGCCCGACCACACAGTAAACACAGTAAATGAAATGTTGATATCACTCAGCTCACTTTTGCAATAACAGCCTCTATTTGTCATCTTTGCCACCCACCACACACACCCGCACGTGCCCAAAAATGCACTTCCTCCAACCTGGTCACGCCCACTTCAGAACATTGGTCGTTTCTATTGGACGTCGCTGAAAATGGGGCATATACTACTAAAAAGTCCACTTCTGTCCATGCGACTGGCTTCTGTGGGTGTCAGTTATCACTGAATACAAAGCTGCGTCAAACTCACTACAGAGAGCACAAATACTCTCGGAAGCTATGCTGTTTAGCCTTCAAAATAAAACGCGCTTTAAGAAAAGTGTCCAGAAAACTAAATTAATATCAAAGTGCTAAGAGTAAGAGTAGGATCATGGGAGTTAATATAAAATAATGCAACCTGCAGCTAGGCTATACATATTAAAAAGCACAAAAACAAGAACATGGTGGTATGTGTGTGTGTGTCGAGAACATAAGGGTGTTTGAAAATAATAGTTCAAAGTAATTGTAAGTGAATCTTTTTCTGGAGTACATTGGCTTTTGCAAAGTATTGAAACATCAAAAGTGGAATTACACTTTTGCTTAAACAGACATGAAAAGTTTTCATGTAGTAAAAGTAGTAACAGTTGGATTTATAATACAACCTTTCTACACTGGCTCCTTAATGCTAACAATATGCAGTTGTTATCCTAAGGAGATTTTCTTGTACTTGTATTAGTATTCGTGCCAGGGCGTAGCCAGGATTTGAAAAAATACTATTGTCATAGGTATGTATTCCCTCAGCACTACCTCATCTACCAAGACATTTTCAACCAATCACTAACCAAACTTTGTAGATGAAAAATACATGTATAAATAAGGCTGTCTTTAACTGTCGTATTACAATTTCAGTAACTACAAACATATGTCCTGATATTTCGATGTTTAAATCCTCTCCACTTCCAGACATGTAATTCTGGTGGAGAATATCAAACATTAAAAGTCTAGTGTGTGTCACTCAGTGGCATCTAGTGCTGAGGTTAAACTTACTTACTTACTTACTTACTTACTTCTCCCATGTGCCAACACGTAAGAGAACTACAGTGGCTGATGCAAAATCACAAATGGCCCTATCTAGAGCCAATAGCCCCTTTTACACTGCCTCTTCAAAGCGAGAATTTCACACCAATACGGCCACCTCACTGTTCTCAAGTACAATGGTGGAATGGGGGTACAGATTTGTCTTGCCTCTATGCTGGCATCGGAGATGGTAGCAGTGCTGAAACAATGACTATATAAGCGGGACAGCTAGTAAGATGGGATCATGTTATGCATACGACCTATGGCTGGAAATGTAAAAAGTAGCTTATAGCAGTTAGCAGCTAACTCAAAGATGAAGAAGAGCAGACGAAAATGTCTGCAAACTGGGAAAACAATGAGGTCTGGGAGCTCCTTACTCTCCGAGCAGAGAACAGATCAGCGGCCATATAACGCGGACAGTAAATTATTGTTATTGCCATGTTAATGCCATTGTTATTGTTTATATAGCGCTGCCTGCTCATACGTTTTATGTCACATTAGAGGCTGACGCTGACGTTTTTTGGTGCTGTGAAAAAAATGCAAAGGTGGCATGAAAAAAGGACTTTGTATTGGCCCTATAGTGGTAACAGTGATATCCAACCTCTGTGTAAAAGAGGCTAATGTGTGGTTTGTCCGTTTAAGGCTACTGGAGAACAATATGGTGGACTCCATGGAAGAGAACCCGCTCCAATTAATGATATAAATGTCTCATTCTAAGCTAGTGAAAACTAAAAATTCCTATTTTCAGGTTATTATAAGTGAATGGTAACATAGTTATGAATATTAAAGGTAGGCCTTCACAGTCTCTGCCAATAGGTGCCCCCAAATCCTACACACTGGACCTTTAAATTAAATTGGTACTTTTTTTGCCGAAAAACAGTCAAATTAATAACAGTTTGTCTAAAAATATCAGAGACAGCAGGCAAAGTCTAATGTCTGTAGAATGAAAATTTGTGCCACTATTATTAAATCAACACCCAAAATGTCTGTAATCATACTTGGGTTTTGGCTGAATCCTCAGCTGCTCAGTAGCTGCCATGTTTCTCCCCCTTGTAAACAGGTGTCTTTTTTTTAATGTCCATCTAGGCAAGTAGTGGCAGAAATTTTCAGTTTGTTTTTCCTGAAAGATCAATCTTACACATACACTTCTTAACATGGGCTCTCCCTCCCCCTTATTGTGAAAGTCCAGACCGGAAGTGGTGTATGTTTACTCCCGGTGCCTTGCTGTATGAAGCCGACAGAGAGTGTAGTTTGTAACAGTGTGGTGATAATTTGGGCTACGTACAATACATAGCCTGATACATTCGGTGCTGGAGAAGGGGATGCTTACATCTCACATCTGTATGAAGGAAAAAAGGAATGAAGAAGAAGCTTTATATTTATTCTTGCCATAAAAACGTGGATAATCAATGCAGTGTCGCTCGTGCGCCTCTGGAAACAAAGCGAGACTGACCAAATGCGGATTTTTTACTTTAACTACGACTTCAGTTGTGTAGGTAACGCTACTGGCATCACCGGCTCTCGCACTGTTGGTTAAAATTACACAGATAAGGGCCTTTATTTTTTAAAGGCATCTCTGGTCTGTTTTATTTGTTTTCTACAACGAGGAGGAGAAAGCGTTTTGGGCGGCCAGATGCACCATTTGGACGGCTGAGCTGTAGCACTTCACCCGCTCCTGAGCTCCAACGTGGGACACTGAAGCAGGTAATATCTAAGGAAACCCAACCAGGGTCTGTCAGCAGCACAATGACAATATTATTTCTCATATATGTCGCTTAAATCCCGGCATGACGCTGTAAATGTTGGCCTTGTGTTCCAAACACCCACTGCTTTCTCTCGTCGTCCACAGAGATATAGCCTAACTCTCCATGGACTCTCCATGAATCACTGTTTGTCGTCTCAACCATTTTGGTGGCATAACAACGGAACACAGGAGGCTGTATAAATTCCTCAATCTCTTCAACATAAGATATCACACTGTTAGAGTCAAGGCGAGCAGTGGGGCTGCTGGGGTTGGCCTGAATTGCTCTTATTGGTGGTTGATGAAGTGAAAGCCTGGTCTGAATGAGGTGTAATTCTATTTGACATTGATTTTCCTAACATACGAGTCAATTTTCAGACACCTCTGAGCTTTTCTCACAGATTTACCATCAGGTGTTGAAATGCTTGGATGTGATTTGACTTGTGAATATGATTTAATCTGAATCAGGGACACCAGCATCATGTGTCTAACAAATGGCCACTGGCTAGTTTAGGATTTGTTATAGTCAGAATACTGCACTGATTTATATATTCTGTGTATAACACCACATATCAAAACTTCTACAAAAAGTAAACAAACTAGGCTTGGTGTTTACACAAATTAAACATCTCCTACACAGAGAATTAAATGACATTTATTCAAGCAAAGACATCCAGCCGCCAGAAGAAAATGTTGGCATTGTACATTTCTGCAAACCAAGAAGACCCTACATTTGACATAGTATATGAGCTGACTTGGTTACTGAGAGGTGGAGGGGTTGGAGGATGGCATGTCACCAAGCTACAGACACTGTTCAAGACCAAAGAACAACAAAACCGGGTAGCAAATATCGCTGTTTTTCCAGTGGCCTTTCAGCCCCCAGATGTGGATTTTTTTAGAAACCCATCAGTGTGTTTGCAGTGGCTTTTAAGCCCCAAAATGTGGATCTTTTTTAGAAACTCGTCATCTTTTTCTAGCAGCTTTTTAGTCCCCAAAATGTGGAGTTTTTATAAACCTGTCAGTGATTCCAGCAGCTTTTTTAGTCCCCAAATGTGGATGTTTGTTAGAAACCCACTACTGTATTTCCAGTGGCTTTTTAGCCCCCACATGTGGACACTTTTTAGAGACCCATCACTGTGTTTCCAGTGGCGATTGTGCCATTAAAAGTGTTTGTTTTTCACAGTGATATCGCTACGTTTTCTGTGGGAGTAGTGCCACAAAAAGTCATTGTTTTCTTACCGACGTCGTTGCTTTTCCAGCAGGTATTGAGCCCCTGAAACCACGTATTTCAAGGCAAAGCATGATCTTGTCCTATCCATAACCAAGTGGTTTTTGTGCCTGAAGCTAACCACACTTTACCACAGCATTGTTGAAACTGAAAGGTTCAACATGTCCGCTAAATAATATTGTACAAATGTAACATATTAGTGGTTTGCAGAAATGTACAATGCCAACCATTTCTGGTGATGAGGTTGTGATTTTTAGATCCAATCAGTCACTTAAGCAGTGAAATTCAGTGATGTTGCATTTAATAAATTTGACAGCAAAATTCAAGCTAAAAAAATTCAATATTTCATTGTTATGAATTCAGTGCTAATTTAATTTATTAGCGAAACTTTAAGTATTCAGTTGTTGTTAGGACTGTCACTCAAAAAATACATTTTAAATGAATCTAACAGGTAAGTTGTTTGAATAAATTCCACTATCTAACATTACTGTTCAGCAGGACTTGTTAGGTTTGCCCATTTTGCTTTAGTAAACAGAACAGCAGTAAGCTAGTTTATTGATAAGGTGATGTGCAGGGGATCAGATGGACTGGACACATCATCCGTGTTAAACAGTGCCATGTGACATAAATGATGTTCTCTCTGACAGGTTGTTACAGCCATAAACCAGTAAATCTTACCACTCTGGATTTACTTGGCAGATTTCCAGGACACCTTTTGTCTCCTAATTCTACTTCCTAGCGATTCAGGGTTACAAGATGAGGCTGAAAAGCTCTCAGCATATTCTCTCTGCAGTTCTCCGTTGCATAATTGCGTTGCCACATACAGTATTTGAACAATTCCCAGTGTTTATAACGCTGAGTACCTGATCATCTGTTTTTACTGCAGGTTTACTTGATTGCTTGGAGGCTGAAGTGGCTATTTTAACATTTTAGGTCACTTCACCCCTAAAGGAAGGGAAGGAAATGAGGTGTTAACTTCCCTGTAGAAGTAGACTGCTGCACCGTATGTTCAGTATTGTAATCTACCATGCCCATGTCCTTTAGAAAATATGCTGTGTATGGATGTAAGGTAAATGGAGCAGGAAGTAGGCCAAGATTGAACCACTTTCTTATTTGCCCTCATTCGCCAGGTCTCCATTGTGATGGAGCAGTGGGTAATTGCAGCAGATAATACCCCTGTCATCATCATATAAATACAGCAAAGTCTTCCCAGCTTCACTGCCGCCAGCCTGTTTATCTCCTTACTGCAGCCTTTTCTCTCTTGACTGTCTTGGTGACACGAGATAACGCTATCTGTTGAATGGCTACATATCCAGGTATCAGAGCAACATCCAACCTAACATGGATACAGAAAAGGCTGACATCCACTCTTCTCATAATAATTGCCTATAATTATATTTGCTGGATTTTTACACCCACGCAAGCCTACAAACTAATGAAAAACTTTATGTGCAAATGAATCATTTTAATTATTTACAAACGGACTATTTTCTACAGCACATTTATTATTTGCCATTTGCTGCTTAGCCATTGTAAATGATACCAGGCAGTCTGAAATAACAGTGTCCAATGTTTATACAAGTGATAAGGGGTTTTTATTGCAGTATTTGACTTGTCCCCAGTTGAACACTGGCTGCTGGTTACTGGCAACAGTTAAGAAAAGCACTTTCACAGGGTTTCTTATCACATGTCAGGCAAACAGGGGAGATGTTTTATTTCCTTTAAGGCAAATGCTTTCCCGTTATATATGGAAAAATGCAATGTTTTCTTTCTTTCTGAGATGAAGTGAGAAGGTTAAAGCTGGGGTATTCAGTTTTATATTGATGTCAAAAATCCCGTCATAACCTTTAAATGAATTTTAATTCAAGTGATCTGCGAGAAAATGACTTCTGCACCTCCTTTTGGCTCTGTTTTCAGGCTTTAGAAAATCTAGGCCGTGATGAGAGCTTTTGGCCAATCACAGGACATTTTAGAAAGAGGATGTTCCTATCCACCTTATTTTCAAACACGGAAGTAAATAGTGATCAACTTCCGTTTTTTTTGTGCGTGACTTCCGGTCAACCGCTTTCCCTCATGCTTTCCCTTACTGGAGCTAACGGTGCAAGCTAATTTTTTTTTCAATTTTCAGTTGTTTATGTTAGTCAATCAGTTAGTTAGTTAGTTAGTTAGTTAGTTAGTTAGTCTGTGTATTTTGTATAACGTTAGATAACTGTGCCCACGTTTCCGTTATAACGGAAATTTATTCCCTCTAAACGCGAATAAATCGCACGTCAATCATAAACTATGAACCAAAAAAGCACAGTCTATCCCGAGTGAGACAAACTGCTTGATCCC